GTATTGTATGTTGTGTTATGCATTCGAAATTGAGTTGTATTGTAAATGCAATGACAATAAAGGCTTCTTATCTCTTATCTAAAAATGTTTTTTATATGCTATTATAGTATTAATTAATTATGTTGCATTATTGTATATTTTTCAATTTTAATTTGAATTAGTTTAGTAATTTTTATGAGCTTGTCATTTTTATTCTTTTTTAAATATTTCTATTTAGCTTTATTTTTTATCTTTCAGTTTATTTTAGTTAGCTGCCAAGGACACTTTTTTTAAGTTAACGTCTTTCATCTAATATTTATATTTTATTTCATTTCAGCTTTATTTCAAAGAACCAAAATGATTTAGTAGTGTTTAAATTAATAACACCGAATCAATGACCATACATGCAACAGCTCCACAAACGGTTCCTTTAGCTTGCTCTTTTCCCTCATACCTGAATAAACAATCTGTGTATCCCAGTAACTAAATGCTGAGATCCAGGCTTCAAAGTCATGAGCTTTCCATTGACACACAGTGGTTAAACTGGCTTCCCCCAGAGACAGCGCTGTGAGAGAGCCACTCGAGTCACTGCACACCACACGCACATCACTGCTGCAAAAACACAACAGTAACCATTACATACAAAGACAATGCAATGCCAAATCATCAATCCATCAATGACAAGCGCACCTTACCTCTCACCTCTCCCTGTGGACCAGTCTAAAGACAAGGCCAGTCTGTCAGGACCCAACTCTGTGCTCAACTCACACTCCAGAACGCAGGTGCCCTGCTACTGGAGACACAGTCCAGACAGGCAGAAGACACTTAATGAAGTACAAATACAGCAGTAAAACATCTTAACACAGTGTCCAGTGCCTACAGTGTTTAAAGCAGTGGTTCTCAACAAGAGTACCTCAGCAAACCTCCAAATTATATACAGTATTATTAATATATTTAAAGGGATAGTTCACCCAAAAATTATAATTCTGCCATCATTTACTCACTCTCAGGTTGTTCCAAACCTGTATGAGTTTCTTTCTTCTGTTGAACATAAAAGAAGATATTTTAAAGAATGTGGGTAACCAAACAGCTGTTGTTCCCCATTGATTTCCATAATATGAAAAAAAAAATATATATAGAAGTCAACGGGGACCAGAAACTGCTTGGATAACAATATATTTAAAATATTTTCTTTTTGTGTTCAGCAAAATAAAGAAATTCATACAGGTTTGGAACAACTTTGAGGGTGAGTAAATGATGACAGAATTTTTGTTTTTGAGTGAACTATTCCTTTCAAATAATAATTAATATAATGCAATATAAATAATATAATTACTATTTTAATTATTAATAATTTAAATATTAATTGTAATTATCTAGCTTAATTAAAAATGCTTTAAAAAAAACAGAAATAATATTTCCCTTTTTTCCCCTTAACTTTTTAAAATATTGCTTGATATTTATTAAAAGAGTTAGGTTATACATTCAGGAGTTCAGGTTATACATTTCTAACATAATTCCAGTGGCATTCTTTAATTATTATAAGCTGAAATAATAATTGGTGTCAATAGAGATAACTTTTATTACATCTAGAACAGTACTTCAATGTACAATTCCTCATGCAGCATGAGTGTGATTTGTCACCTGAGATTCCATAAGCTTGTACAACTGAATTTCTCCACTTGCAGTGGCCATACCCAACAACGGGCGCTCTGATATCGGACCCGCAACCTTTGGGTTACGAGTCCTACTCTCTAACCATTAGGCCATTTTTTTTTCATGGATCTTGCGGATCTTGCGGTCCATGACGGCAAGAACCCCCTCAACATCTGGCAACACGCAGGCTTCCGATGACAGAGACTCACAGGTGGAGTTATTTATCTAGTTTTTTATCTATTGTGGTAATTTGCAGGTTGTGTAAAAAAGTTGTTGGTCTAGATAAATAGCTGTATTCTGCACGTTTGTCTCATGTACGATCATTTTCTTCCAAATACGATAATTATGAGCTTCTGGTACGATACTTGGACATTTCCAATCTGGCAACACTGAATCCACACCATTACTGGCCATCTGTCAAGGGTGTTTCCCTGCCTCAGCCTACATAGGACAAGCGGTCTGGAAAATGGATGAATGCCATCACATACAATACAATAAAAAATACACATAATATATACACAGCACAATACAGTACAGTAAACATACGGAGTGTGTAATGTTGTAGGTGAAAAGTGAATTGTAGTGAGCAGAATGAACAGTGAGATTGACTTACCATTTGAGATCGAGTACAGCAGGAGTGTCTATCCGCTGAGTCTCAGTCAGTGGAGGGATGAACGATGGTTGCGGATTACAGTCAAACAGATAAAGTCGACCGATTCTGCTCGGGGCAGTAGAGTCTTCTGCGGTTTGCTGCAAACAGAATACAGCGTTTCAATTTAGAATTAACCAGTTGATACCACACAATACCATAAACTAAAGCCGAAAAATATTTTGCGTTACCTTATCATCGCCTTTTTGAAGTTGGTAAGTCCCACATGCCAGAACGTGAGACCACTGTGGTAATGGACACCACTCCACGGTATCAGCGCTTAACTCCGTGTCAAACACTTGCAGGGTTCGGGTTCGAGACTGCCAACCCATTTAAGCGGCTCGGCATAACATGAAGCAACTTAGAATGGATAATCACAGTAACTGACGAAGAAATAACTGTACGTGTACTGTCAGTCTGTGACCCCTACATGCATGCAGCACTAGACCAGCTGTCATTGCATATTTTATTTACATTTTTAAATTGATATAATTTTTATTTTAAATGAATGGTATATATTATAACTTAGTGTAAAATATGAGTTTCCAGGTTATAAACATTTTCGTGAAACTGCGCCTTTTATCGTTTTTACGAGGTAAACAGGACGTGAATGGCACAACAACTTCCGGGTGGCTGAAGTCTGACTGGCTGAGCGTTTAAATCGCGCCCTTGTTGTTTGTGATGAGCAGTTCCTGATTGAGAAGCTTGCTGTTTTCAATTTCTGTGTAATTTTACGTTAAATCAGAATGGAACAAAACAACTCCGAGTTCAAATCTGTCCTTTGCACATTGCTGGATAAAAACGATCAGTCTAAGTATGTGTTTTTTACGCAAAAGCGATCAGCAGGAGACATAAGTATTGGGTGAGTTGACACGAAATGTCAAGCAGTGACATATTTTTTTGTCAACAGTAACAACACTAAATTACAAACTCTTCAGTTGACTACAACATTTGTCATGATAATAATAATAATAATAAATACTATTATAAATTGTATATTATTTATAGTTGTATATATCATGATGTCCTATATCCTGTAGATTTACCAATGGTGAAGATGTTTGGAAAACATATCTTTCAGAGGAGAATCTGTCTCGGCTTGTAAGGAGTTTTTTTGTGTGTTTTTTTGATGGAGTCTTTCTATATGACAGATAACAATAATACAATGCTTTTATTTCTTTATAGTTTAAGACATTTTCATTAAAATCCACAGAGGATTATACCTTCAAACTCAAGTGAGTTGCAACTTGAGCAATTAATAAATCAATAATCTGATTTCTTGATTGACAAGATCTTGTGTCCTCTCTGAGAACCGTCTCTTGTGTATGTGGACAGATGTGCGTGCAAAGCTGGCAGAGCATTTGTGAAGCTGCAGGAGGACAGTGCTGTGCTGCATTTAGGAGCGGAGCCCACAGACCTCAGTCTGTCGCTGCCAAAACTCACTGACTCCGAGGGAAAGACAGAAGTCAAGGATCTGCTTTTTAAAATGGCAGACAGCCTGCAACAGCTAGAAAGTCAAGGCAAGCAAAGATGTTTTCAATTATTATACTCGCTAATTTTCAAAATAATAAAACCCTGCTTTGCTAAATGTTCACAGTTTTATCGTTTTTAGGTTCTACATACTCATTTAGTCCAGTCAAGAGCCCTCAGAAGAGGAGTGCTGGTAAGTTAAGGCAGCACCTTTTAAGCTTGATAGTTGTCAAATGGATTTAAATCACTGGTTGAAACATCCAGGGGGCCTAATAAGTCTTAAAATTATTTTGTTATGTTAACATAATCTGAATTAAAATGCTAAAAACCCCTGACATTATATTTTTGAGGGCTTTTTTTTTAAGTTTATTTTATTACGGCAGAAGTACCAGCTGTAGCGCCTTTGCGCTTCGGGTGTCCCGAATTCGAGTCCCGGCTCAGTGAACCTTTACCGATCCCACCCCCCTCTCTCTCTCTCACCCACTTTGCTTCCTGTCGACCTACTGTCCTATCTAAATAAAAGGCATAAAACGCCAAAAATAAATCTTTAAAAAAAAAAAAAAAAAAGAAGTACCAGCTGTATACTGTATATCAGCTATATATCAGATTTACTTCTTATCTAATTGTCTAAGCTCATTTAAAATTAGTGATGACATGTTTTTGTTTTAGAATTTGAACCTAGGAAACAGCATAAGGGTCCAGTAGTAGCAGTTAGAAAACGTCTTCCTGGGGATTCCCTCATCAACCCAGGAACAAAAAGGTGAATATTTTCATTGACTTTACATTCCAAAATAAATAAACAAAAATCTGCCAACACCTTACAGAGGGTATTCTGCTTACTGACCATTTCGGTTTATTTTACAGAAAGAAACCTGCAACAGGTGTGGCCTTTGACGATGAATGATGTCAACACAACCACTGAATTTCATAAAAACATGAATTGTACCTTTTTAACCAACTGAACACTATCTGTTTTTAAAATGTATCTCGCATACAAATCACAATATGAGCTGTTTTATGTCATCATGTATCCATTTTATCATCATGGTTTTATTTAATAACATTGCTAAATGATTTCTTTATATTTTTTCCCTTTAGATTGTGTTGCTAATAAAAATGGTATTTTTAAATAATTGTGTTCACTGAAAATGTTATTTTAATCAGTAGGCTCAAATAATAATAATAATAATAAAAAACAGTCAGAAAATCTATTTAACAATTTATTGATTTAATTATTCTCTTTTCTCCCTGTTAATATTAAAAATATCAGTTCACCCCAGTTAGCACAAGATTATGGAAACAATAAAAGTAATTGAAAACAAGCTGAAAAGGTCCAGTCAATCTTCTTACAAGGGAATCCACCTGAACATAGGTATTACTAGATGAAAAAAAAAACATGAATAAATACTGAATCATATTCACATGTACTGAAGTTACATTCCAAAGCACTGACTAGAAAGATAAAACTAAATCACCCCCTTAACCATAATGCTATTTTATATGATACAGAACCACTCTCATGTTTGCTGGTGTCTTAAATCACTGCACTGTAAATTTCCAAAGTGAAAAGCAGCTTGCACTGATCTTTAGTTAGGCTGTTGAGGTTCTCCATTAGCAGGAAATATATTCGGAAGTGGCCCAGTCGCCTTAATAATCAAAGTGAGACTTTTGATCATTATGTAAATAAGTATTCCTTAGGTCAGTTTTCACATAGCTGGTCACAATTCATTTACACATTTCAAAAACTATGCTTCATTTCCCTTTGGTCATCATACATGAAAATGCCCCGAGGGTGCTTTCCTCTCTTTGAGCTCAAAAATATCAATCATATTCTTTTACGCAGCAATGTCAGAAAAATAAGACCATTATAGTGACGAAGCACAGTTAGACTGTCACTGAGCGATAGGACCTAACCATCATGTACATCACCTACATGAAGGAGAAGCATCATTTCATTTCAAACAAACAATATAATTGACTAATTTCAGGTCAAAAAACTAAACATTTACACTCGTATTACATTACAGTGCAAACGACAAAGTCAAAACCACCTGCTATTCAATAAACATTTCAAGGGTTCTCATAAATACAATAATCAAGAGCAATGACCTGATTTCTGTCCGTCTGTAATTACAGTGACTCAAAGTCCACCTTTGCCTTCACAGTGCTAGCACGACAATTATTATGAATATTTCTACTGACATCTGGTGTAGGAGTTCTTTCAACTGGCATCTGGTATTGTGCAGCTTTTAACCATTAGCAATAATGCAACATACATTTTCCACCGAGACAGACACCGATATCAATTACAATTAATTTCAGAATTCATTCATCAAAGAAAAAAAGTGAGAAAGCCCTGGTTCAGGAGACAAAAGTCAGCACTTATGCCATTTACATTCAATTACAAGAACATAAACATCTCCGTAGCAGGGCTGGTTCAGTCCGGTTCCACTAAAGGCCTTTGAATCGGTCACAAGCCATTCACTATTGAATGTCCGATTTAAAAACTTCAATGGTGCACAGGTACATTTGCATTCTTCAACAAGAACAACAGGTCTGTTCAAAACACGTAAGCATAGTAAAATTTCTTCAACCCACAACACAACAGGCTTGTCTTTTATAGCATGCTCTCAATGCAGGTACAAATAAACAAAGTAGGTCTGAGTAAAGAAAAAAAGATTGGTTTCAACTCAACGTGAGGATAAACAGTCGTAAAAAGAAGAAGTTGCAAAGGCTGAACCCATACGAGTCCTATTCCTTGAGGGATGATTATGTTACGACAGCAACACTACAATTAAAACGATTCAACATGTGATCAGTTTAAAGATAGTATGACCATATTTAAATTTCGAGCGATACCAAAATAAACCACACGGCCGGGTTGTATCTAAGAAATACATTCTCTTTAATTCCCATCCAGCAGGCTTGAATATAAAGTACAGTAATACATGATTCCATAAACCATCATCTCCGAAACACAGGAGGGGAGGCCGTGGTCGGAGTACCTCTCTGGCCCGATCAAGTTCAGGCACCGACTGTGTCCGCATCTCTGTTTAGAGTTCCCAGAAGAGCCGTTCTCTCCCTCCGCTACTGAAGTGCAAATGGAAACAAGAACAATCCACTCGCTGGGCCAGAGAGACGGATCCTCTCCAGCTAGAAAAAACACACAAATGTCTTTCACCATACAGACACGGGTCTGAACTTGAGGCTTGTTTTTTAACATCTCTTCGTCTGTGAGATGTTTCAGCACAGAGTGTCTGTATTAAAAGACAACTGCACCTGTGAGAAAGCAAAATGAAAATGATTAGAGAAAATATTTTAAATAATGTAGTTTAATAGTCTTGTAATAATTGCTGTTCTTTTGAACTTCTTATTCATCAAAGAATCCTGAAAAAAATGTATCACGGTTTCCACAAAAATATTAAACCGTTTCAACCATGATAATAGAAAATATATATTTAGCACCAAATAATTATAATTAGAATGATTTGTTAAGGATGTTGGGAAATTGAAAACGGGAGTAATGGCAGTTGAAAATTCAGCTTTGCCATCATAGAAATAAATTACATTTTTAAATATAATAAAATAGAAAACAGTTGTTTTAAATTGTAATAATATTTCATAATATTACTGTTATATATTTCTTTTTGATCAAATAAAAGAAGCCTTAGTGAGGACAAGAAACTCCTTTCAAAAACATTAAAAAATCTCTAAACCTTTGAACTGTAGTGTAGTATTTTTAGTATGTAGTATATATTTTTAAATGTTTAATAGTACTATCTTGCCCCATTTTTGTCTTCCATTGTTTTGCAAAAGTTCATGTTAACTTAAATTCTAATCCCTTTTTTATTCACTTTACTTTTTTTGACATTCCAACGGCCACAGCCTGATTCTAAATCCATAATAAGCTTTTTAATAGAATAAAGCTTTCTAATAACAAATGTCTTTATAAATCACAACCCAAGTGGGCTGGTATTAAGAGTAAGACTGTGCCAAGCTGATTTAATTGAATTATCTCATCAACTGAAATGTAGTTTTTATGTGCCTGTGTCCCAAGTCTTACCCTCTCTTCCTCAAAGCTGATCAGTCCTTCATCATCATCATCACTCTCAAGTTCTTCTGGCTCTTCTCTTACGAGGGCGTTGAGTTCTGTGTTAGTGGGACAAGGCCTGAGGATGCTGAGCAGCCGCTGCAGTGGTGACTGACCAGCACTAGACGGGGAACTTTCTTGCTGTTCTAAATTATCACTTTGCTTTTTTGCAAAGTTGACAAAGACCTAAGAAAAGAACAGACAAGAAGAAATGACTACTTTTCCTTGTTACAGTATGTAGTTTTTGGATTCATATTTCATAAATTTTGTTAATCTTTTGACCAACTGAATCATTAAACAGAATTTCAGCCAAGTAAACTAATGCCTATTCACTTTCAATAATTACATTTTTCTTTCGCTATTACATTTCTCAAGTCACTGACGTATACTTACGTTGTCCAAAGTTGTCTGGCTGACAGAATAATCTTCGATGCTCAGCACCTCCACCACCTGCTCCATTTTGCTGAAGACCTGAGCCAGAGAGATGTTCTCTGACTTCAGCTGGTACTGAATCTTTGTGTGGTGACGCTCCTTATGTGAAAGAATATGCAGAAGTTTACAATTTTTTACTGCAAGTGAAGCAAGCTCAAAATATACTCAACATGTACACTTAGTTTTGTCAGCACTGCACAAAAACACCTTGCGAGAGCTTCGTCGTCAGCATCTCAATAGGATTCAGATCAGGACTTTGACTAGGCCACTCCAAAGTCTTCATTTTGTTTTTTTTCAGCCATTCAGAGGTGGAATTGCTGGTGTGTTTGGGATCATTATCCTGCTGCAGAACCCAAGTTTGCTTCAGCTTGAGGTCACAAATTGAACTCAGGTGTGATAAACCACAGTTTTAACAGGGGGGCAAACACTTCTTCACACAGGGCCATGTAGTTTTGGATTTTGTTTTCCCTTAATAATAAAAACCTTCCTTTAAAAATGGCATGTTGTGTTTACTTGTGTTATCTTTGACTAATATTTAAATTTGTTTGATGATCTGAAACATTAAAGTGTGACAAACATGCAAAAAAAAAGAAATCAGGAAGGGGGCCAACACTTTGTCACGCCACTGTATATTATATATTACAATCCAAACTGACAACATAGAGGTACTTGTATACTACGGCCATCTGTTTTGGAGAAAGTTGAGCTGATGCACAGCAAATATGAAATATCTACATTTCCAGTCAAACTCTTGTCCTTAAACTTACCTTTAGGACGGCCTCTGGAAAATTCCTGTTGAAAAACCGTATCACTTCCTTGATGCTAGTCGTGGTCTTAGTTCGTACTGTTATCATGTATCCATCCCCAAATCTGAAAAAAATATAAAAGAACAAACAGTGAGTCGACATTTTAAAAGAACACTGCACTCCTGCGTCGCACATTTTAGTGGCTGAGACTTTTCAAACCTGTTTTTGAGATGCTGGATGCTACCCAGACACTTGAACCTGCCGTTAACCATGATGCCCAGTCTCGTACACAAGGCTTCACACTCCTCCATACTGCAAACAAATACATTAATATATTAGTGCTATTAAAAGTAAACATAAAACAGAAAATACAATTTATATAGTTACCACACCTGTGTGATGTCAACACCACAGAGCGTCCGGTCTTGATGATGTCAAGAATCAGATTCCATAAGAAACGACGAGCCTTTGGGTCCATACCTGTGGTGGGTTCATCCTATAACGACAAACAGCAGACAAGGTCACGTTCAGACCTTTTAACAGTAAAAAAAATGCAAAAGATGTCCAAACATGTATTTTTGTCTTGTTTTAAGGATGTTTTGATATTCCATACTGGACAACATATTCAATTTACTTGAAAAAGTTTTATTAACAATCTTTAGTGTTTAGAATGTATATCTTTAATTTCATTTTTCTTACCCCGCTGGCAAATAGCTTTTTTCCTGTTTTAAAAATAAATCCAACATACTTTTGAGATGTTTATGCTTTTAAAATAGTGTAAGAAAAATTAAGTCAAAATACTGATTAAAAAATATTTTTTTGCAGCAGTGAGTGTGGAACAGGATAAAAGAAAAGTGTGACAGGCAGATCTAACCAGAAAGATGAGTGAGGGGTATCCAATCAGAGCAATAGCTGTCGAGAGTTTGCGTTTGTTGCCTCCACTGTAGGTGCCAGCAGGTTTGTCAGCATACTTGGACAACTCCAACTTCTCCAGAGCCCATCGGACCACCTTCAGGACACAAAGAGTGAGTGCATTAGAGAGCGAGACATAAAAAGGGTGATATTTCATTTTTAACAGCATGAGCAATGAATTTCAAACTGCAGTTGACAATTATAGATCGCCAAGTGCTCTTGCACTTTTTAAAACTGATTTCAAGAGAGCTTTCAGGAGCTCTTATCCACACTTGACTATCACTGATAAGTGCATGACAACCTTTTACAGAATGCCGTGTGACTACACAGAGTGTGCGTTTCTGTGTGCTCACCCGTTCCTCATCTTTCCAGGGGATGCCGCGGAGGCGTGTGTACAGCTCCAGATGTTCCCGAGCAGTCAGGTCATCAAACAGAGCATCAAACTGAGGGCAGTAACCGATGCTCTGCTGCAAGCATAAAAGCTCCCGCAAGATACTGCAGGACAACGAGAGACTCATACTGACCAAGCCATTCACATTAGCAGTATATACGCAAAATAAAGAACAAAAATAATAGTTTTAACATGTGAATAAGAGTTTTATGCTTAATAAATTACCAATAGGGTAAAACCAATCAGCTTAATTCAAAACATATTCTATATATTCTGTCGAAAAATACTTTGTATTTTTAACACTGAAAAATAATCAGTAGTGTTGTTAGCACAGCAACATATAGCAAAATTTCCTAAATAAAACAAAATCGCATAAGATAGTGCTTATTTATTAACATTTGTTGGAGGTTTATGCTTTAAGAATTACAAATAGGGTAAAAACTAATATATTTCAAGATTTACTCTACATTCTGCCAAAATACTTAGTATTTTCAGCAATGAAAATTAATGAAGAGTCGTTAACAAAGCAACATGCTAACATCAAATCTTCCTTACAAAACATCAATTAAAAATAATCTACTTAAAATTGTATAAGATGAGACTTGTCTAAATTAAGTTTATTTTTCTTATTCCTTGGCAAAATGTTTTTGTCTTGTTTTAATATATAAACAAATTATTGGTTTATGCTTAAAATATATTAAAAAAAATTTAAAAAAAAAAGTATTTTGAAATATATTCTATATTCTGGCCAAAAAACAGAGAATGGTGAAGAAGAAGGATTTAGAAATCTGTTAACAAATCAAAGGTGGTCTGAATGTAGCACCTGTGTCCCTGAATAAAGGCCTCTCCCCCTGTTGTGCTCTCATCTCCTGTCAGCATTTTGAAGGTGGTGGTCTTTCCTGCCCCGTTCACTCCCAGCAGCCCGAAGCATTCCCCAGGACGGACCCCCAGACACAAACGGTCCACCGCCAGGATCCGGCCCATCTTGCGAGACTTGTACACCTGTGAGGAAACACAAGCTCTGAGGATCTTTTGAGGACAGAACGATGTGTTCAGGTCAGACAGACAGGGTTAAGGGAAAGTTTTAAAGGGGTCATATGACGTTCCTAAAAAAGAACACTATTTTGTGTATTTGGTGTAATGAAATGTGATTATGCGGTTTAAGGTTAAAAAAACACATTATTTTCCACATACTGTACATTATTGTTTCTCCTCTATGCCCCGCCTTTCTGAAACACGTCGATTTTTACAAAGCTCATCGGTCTGAAAAGCGAAGTGTGCTGTGATTGGCCAGCTATCCAGTACGTTGTGATTGGCCGAATACCTCAAGCGTGTGATGGAAATGTTACGCCCCTACCATACTGTGATGCCCTGTC